GAGAGAGAGAGAGAGAGAGAGAGAGAGAGAGAGAGAGATGGCAATGTCAGAAGCATTTTCTGCGAGGCACACACACACATTTGCTGCGGTTGGTTGTCGTCTTCTTGTCATCAACCACAAGAATTGTATTCCTATGCTCGGTGCTGTCTTGGAAGATGCACACATCTCCTGCTGCTGCTGTTGCTGTTGCATCTGTTTCTGCTTCTGCTTCTGGTCTTGCCTCCCTCCCTGAGTACTTAGGACCTTGATATGCGTTTGTCCATCTGCAGAGTGCATGCAGAGTTTCGCCGATGTATTTTGCCACTGGGCATGGTGTTTTTTTTTTTTATTATAAGAAAACAGAACCTTTTGGTTCTGTCTGGGCATGGGTTTGCTGAAAGCTCTAAGGCAGCTTTTTCCTCCCAAACTCAACTATTGATATTGATAGCGAAGTTTGCAGTGGCTTGGAAATGGTTTTTTTTTTTTTTTTTTTTTCCCCCCCCCCCCCTGAGAAAACAGAACCTTTTGGTTCTCTCTGGGCATGGGTTTGTTGAAAGTTCTAAGGCAGCTTTTTCCTCCCAAACTGATAGCAAAGTTTGCAGCTCAGTGTCTTGCAAACAGATTATCTTATTTGAACTGTTCAGTACTACACTCTGATCCCAGGGCATGCCTTTAAGCTCCGGTGTTTCTGCCGTTTTGCTGTTGTGACCAGTTCCTTGACTTGCTTTGGCCGATCATATTCCTCACCTTCCGTTGACGCACGTGAGCAGGCAGAGGGAAGGAGGGGCGGGGGCGGCGGTATATAGAGAGAAAGGGAGAAAGGGAGAAAGGGAGAGAGTGATGCCAGCGTCCTCCGCCACCGAGCCGTCAAAGACATGTCAAGTTTGCCAGGAAGGGACTCCAAAGTACAAATGCCCACAGTGTCGCATTCCTTATTGTTCCTTGGTGTGCTATCGCCAACACAAAGAGATTCCTTGCCAGAAAACAGATAAACCAGGTGGAAATGCAGAGGAGGGACTGGGAGTGATCAGGCAGCCACTGCGGGATTTTGAGAAGCATGAAGAGGAAGGAGGTGAGCCAGGGTGGAGGTTGAGCAGAAATCAACTCGAAGAGTTGGCAGCGTCAAAGAGTGTGCGGGATGCGTTGAAAGATGACGAACTTCAGCGGGTGATTCGCAGGATCGACAGTGCAGTCGATGCGGAAGCGGAACTGGATAGAGCTATGGAGTGCAGCGCGTTCTTTAAAGAGTTCACTTCCCAGGTTCTGTCTGCAGTTAGCGGGCCTGAAGACAGTTCAATGCTCAGATTTGTCGCATAGCTGTAAAAAGGACTACATACGCAGTTGCCTACCTTCTTCCTCCAAACACCATGCCCAAGCATCATGACTGTATTTTGACCGACCGGGTCAGGGTTTCTGTACGTTTATGATGGCGGGGTGTTATGTTCGGGGGGAAAAGCGAGCTATCTTCTTCCCCCGAACACAACGTACGGTCATTATAGCTGTATCTAGTCTGAAAGATGCCTCACATACAGCTATAAAGACTGTACGTTGTATTCGGGGGAAGGAGGTAGTAACCTTGATAATTGGCTAACAGTTGCGTGCCAATGCAGTTCTCTTGTGCAGTTTTCCACTGGTTGCAGGGCGTGATGGCAAATCAAGACGTCAGACTTTCAAGTTGCCATGAAGGCAGCTACTGTCTTCCCCCGAACAGAATGCACCCTTATTTTGGCTGTATATGGCCGGAAATATAGCTTGTATACATTCATTTTTAGGTTGCGTTATGTTCGGGGGAAGACGATAGTGGGGCCTGAAAGCCGTTCGGCCATGCTGGGATTGGTCATCTGGCTGTATGAGGACTGTGCGCAGTTTTGTTGCTTGGCTGTATGATTGTCAGGCAGCTCTGCGCAAATGCAGTCTTTTTTTTAGCACCTCTTCGCGGAACGGTTTTCAACTGCCGTAGGGGGTGTGATCATGATCTCAGTCTCTCAAGTGATCATGATCTCTAGGTCGGAGAGTCGTTTGCGGAATGGTTGCTACACTACTCCAGAGTGTTTTCTTGTCCCTGCAACAATGGGATACATTCCGTGTGCTCGCTTTTAGTACTCTCTGAAGTGTTGAAGTTCCGGAGAAGCTCTGATGTTTTTCTTTTCGTGTCTCGCATCGGCATTCATCTGCGGTATGAATCTTGGGTGTGGAAAGTCAAACAAATTCTTTGTGTTCCTGGACGGCAATTGAATGATTGTGTATGTACGAAGGACCATTCAGCTATGGATGCATCCGCTGTGTGTGTGTGTGTGTGTGTGTGTGTGTGTGTGTGTGTGTGGCTAATGCACTGGCGGGATAACACCTCCCTTTTCATGCAACCTTGAAGGAGAGAAAGTCCCAATCGAAA